GGTCCAGACATGAGCAATTCTGGCCAACTTAGCTCGCAAACGAGGTGGCAAGGACTCGAGGAAGATGCAGAGGCGTTCGCCGTACTCAAGCAGTAATAGAGTAAGCCTAGTATTTCTAAAAATACCGTCTCTAAGGAGTGGCTCGGAACTCCGACGGATCCCGGAATTCGTTCTCGATCTTCTACCAGGGTCCCAAAAGTGTCCATAGAAGATTCGATTAATAAGCCGGGTATAGTGACAATGCGGTGATAGCATATCTCGGAATCTGAGTTGCACTATGCTCTGGACACAGCTATGAGTCCCCTCTCTTACCTCCAGGTCGACTCTGGCGTTGGGTATATCCTGATGAAGTTGTCCCTAGATCTTCCCCCTCCATTAGAATACCCAGCATGTCGTCGCAACTCCCCAAGGACTTGCACTAGTACCCGTGAGGACTCCTTATCTATATCGTGGCCTCGAAAACCACACATCCCCGCCCTGGTCTCAGCATTATCCAGCCTAGAACCGGACCCTCCCATGAAGTGACTCATATTGTCACCCATATCGAAAGGCGGCGTTTTGAGTAGACGGCTCGTTGTCGATGTAAATGTGTTAACATAGTATCCCTGGAGACTATTCCCTCGAGACTTCGATGACGGTACACCGACCAAGTTGAGGATATCGGAGATGAGGTGGGCTTTGATCTGACCATAGACTTCAGAGCGACTACAATGTTTCGTCTACCTTCCGATCAAGAGGTGTGTCAGCCACGAGACTGGGGCTCAGATTTACTTCGATAAGCCATGGCTTAAGCTTGGAGTCCAACAAAATGTCGAAACTGTGATAACAGTATATGGTGGCAATCACCGACGGCTTACCCAAAGAGCTCAAAACAAGACGGGGCCGCCCGCCTGCCCACGCCACTCTGACCAATCTGCCCGAACCTTCCCGATGCCACAATAGTCTTCAATATGATATCAATGATAGAGCCCCAGACCTGAGATGATGACATGCCGGCCAGCTGTGATAATAGAGTTGGAGAAGTACCTCAGACACGTTAAGGCCACTGCAAGAGCAATGCCTATTGAGAGCCGATAGGCTCCACTTATGACCATAGTGGTCAACCCTTGCATCTCTGTTCTCGACATAATCGTCGGAGCTCCTACAAATAGAGTAGTTGGTGAGGTGGGCGTATCTATCATGAACACGTGGTCGATCGGACCTCGAAGGGCGTACTCTGCTCACTTGTTCTGCAGGTCCTCCGCAGTCTTCA